GTGGACAGTAATTGACTGTATCTAAGTGTCATAACAATTGTAACATTCCACAGTAACATCTCGTTTCATACAATAACATGGAGCCCACGTACTCTGCTCGTTAGACGTCACGCACACTCGTTATATGTTATGGGCAATAAAATTACTGTCAATATTTTTTTTCATGCTCTGTCAGATTCCTGCATATGTAGAATAGGCAGGTTTAATCATATTAAAAACACTTGGTCAGCCCATCGTATTCGACTGCTAAACAAAAGCCTTTTCTCATACACTTGTTCAAAACGATTTCAGACATAGAATTTCAACCATCAATCCAGATTGCTCACAATCTTTCTTCACCATCTTATAGCCTCGGAAAAGAAAGCCACATTTTACTCGGAAATACTCACATTGATACTTCATACTTGTCAGGTTTCGAACACCCTCATGCTTTAGAAGCTGGTGCCTTAACGTCCAGGTCACCACGGTAGTCATACTAAAAAATATGTATATCTGCAACTAGCCTTAGTCAACACAGTAAAATGAGGCACGTGAATGACGTGACAGTACCGGGCATGCTTCCAAACCGGTTCGCCAAATACAACGCCATCCCTACCTTCACATGACTGTCAACTCACATGATTCTGAGATTGTAATAGATTCAACAAGTCAGTTAAATTATTCCTTGTATTTGTCATATTCTATTTGTATTTTCATTACAAACAAATATTTTTATAAGTTTCATAAGATTTCACATTAAAAGTAATTTTCAGCGAATTGCATGTTTGTATGCCTATATAAATAAACCTACGGAGGTATATTTGTTCTACCCTGTATATAAGGAAAGATTTCCGCGTGTACAAATGAAACTCAACCAGAGATATTGCGTTTCATACAATCGTACTAAGAATATGTTTAGGTACATATATATAACTGTTGTATATAGGAAAGATCGTTGTCCGTACGTTTTATTGACAGCCAGCTATAATATAAAAATGTATATTTACTAGTCAGTTGGTATATGTATACGCACAAAACATGTTTGATGTACAGTTGTATCTGATGGCATAAAGATATATGTATATGTTTATTTTTGCTTGAATCTCTCATTTAATCGTTTTAGCAGTTTAATATTTGAGTTGAGATGTATCCATTTTGTTTACGATGTAAACACAAACGAGCTAACTCTCGGACGATCCGCACGAGCGACGCTCCAATATTATTTCTTAATATCATCTCCCATCTCTCACAACATACTCGCCAAAGAAAACAAACTCCTATCCGACGCATCCCTTTAATACTCGAAAATATCGCTTCATAAATATTTTACTCTCATGAATATATTGTACATTTTTGTATAATATTAACTACCCTACATTACACTCATATTTGAATGTCAAAGCGTTGTCGCAGCTATTATTTTATTAGCGATTCAAAATTGAGATAACATTCTATTGACAGTCTCAACTTTTGTTTTTCTTTTAAGAGTAATTTAAATAATGAAATTCGTAGGATAAACGTTGGATGATGCTAATTGGCATTTACGAGAAACGGGAGCCGGTCTACGTTAAGAATCTTGAGGAAAACGTTGAATTGGAAATGTTATAATACCTTCTTTGGGAGGCAGGGAAAAACAAGGTTCTTGTAAAGCGAAGAGGATCGTACCCTAATATCCTTACACAAATATGAACAAAAAGTTAGGTACACGTAAAAACGGCAACTGGACCCGCGCTTTGAATATAGTAAATACAAACAAAGATTTCATAAAGAAAGAAATGAGTTCACATAGTTAAATCGTGGTTTTTACTACCATTAAACTAAAACTACTTTCAACCGGATTTACTCGGGTATAATCCTATTAAGCCGCAGCATCCGTGATTGCACGTAGACCGATGTGTTGAGCGTGTAACAGATATTTAAAAATTTTAGTAGTAATAGTTAACGTACACTGGGTATAATTTTTATTGGTGTCAATATAAAATCTTATAAAAACTAAATAAAATCAGTACGCTCAACAATATCTACGAACGACCCTTATACAATTAAATACCAAACTAAGCTTGGTGTTATGAGCAACCTTTATTTTAAGTTGGCAACCCTAGAGTGACACACGTGTGGTAAAACTAAAGTAACCCAACCTAACATTAGTTAACATTTTAAATAAAATAAGTAATAAAAAATAGGTATAAGGTGAGACGTGTTAGTTATTGTATTTAATGTAGTAGATGACTGTAAAGACCTACATATTAAATTTTTAACTACTTTTCAAGTCACTTAACAATGCATTAGGTATCTCTCCGAACAAATAGTGGTCCCAGAAGAACTCGAGTAAATATTCGACAGTATTGCACCTACTTAATCCTAGCAGATTTACCATAGTTAGCACTTGAAAGCCATTACTATAAGCTGCAGTAATTTGTTAACAAGTTAAACTAACTACATAGAGATTAGCTTGCAGAAGCACGAACAACGCAGAAGCCAGTATTAACTTTGCTTTTAAGGGTTGTTTGACTAATTTACAACAAATTAGTTTTGTAGCAAACGTTTTAGAACAAGACTACGTCTAAGGTAACTTTTCTACTTTCTATTAACCCTTTGAGTACCGTCAATATAGACACAATTAAAGAACAATAGGTTGCGGTCACCGGTGTCCTCGCGGTGTTTGACAGTTTAATCTCTTTAACTGGTCGTTCACGTTTAAAATTAACTCCGATTAACAATAAGCATTCACAGCGATGGTGTTACAGAAAGGTTATACTGGGTTACTTGTTATTAGAGCATCATCATGTGGGGTAACGTAAAAAATAACTTACCACTACCACAACCCTAGATTAAGTAATCGCTATCAGCGTACTATTTACTTGGGTCACCGAATTATTGAATCTAAAAAGCATGAAATCATAGGCGTCAATTTTTGGAACAAATTTGAGCTAAAATTTTCTATAGTTGTCATATACCAGTTGTACTCTTTCAGGCTTAAGTATAGCTATTGGATTTTTGTAACAGCCAGTATATGTACGTTAATACATTCCTTTATCATGAAAGTCCCACGCTATCATTTGGCCAGTTTACTGCGTAGTGATTAGTCTTACGAATGGCACTCCTATAGAGTGTTATCTATCCGTATCATGTACGTACCCTCATGATTACATAGCTTTGTTCTCGTCTTACCGTCAACAACTCTTTATTAATGGATTACATTGTTTTCTAGCGTTATTGTGACTAATATTAACAAGGTGTCTAAAAGATATATCAACGTAATAGAAGGTATAAATTAAATACCACATTCGTTAGTCTCCAACGGCAAAGGTAAACATGGCACGCCCAATTTATAAATACTATGTGTAGAAAGCGAGTATATTGGCTAGGTATAATACCAGACTCCATTACACTACGGAGAATTCCGAAAAACCCAATATCATCCTGATCAAATACAAGGCCTTGCCCTCGGCACCAGTCCAACGAAGTAGTTTAACAAACATTACGATAAACTCGAACCACTGCACACTAATTACATAACCTTTGAAATCCTTGAAGCTCGTCTTCGAATCTCTCGATTGCTAATGAAATCAATATTGACTATTGTGTACACAAACAGAACAGCCCTCCGGTTTACCCAGGTATAATTCACGCCGGTTCAAACTTAGTCTACGAAGCTTAGTTTGCCCGCCAGTAAAACTTTACCCACAAGTTAATCGGGACTAACTTTTAACTACGGCCACGCCAAGTTATCCTTTTGAGAGGCTTTAAAAATTGAAATAACTTATTACCTAGGTAACTTTTTTCAAAGCAATTTTGCTATCAATTTACGAAGCATGTTCTTATGAATAGATTTGAACCTCCTTTGAGTATTAAATCAGGTTTAATGCCAATAGAAAGTGTAAGATGTCTTGATACTTGCGCTTCATTGAATTTGTCAGGTTTCCCAAGAGTTCAGGTATTAAATTGTGAAGGTACCTCACTCGTCTTGCGACCCACACCCGGCTATAAATAACTAGGAGGGTAAGCTCGAGAAATGTTCTCGGAAATAATCATTTTGTTCAGTTCTAGACATGAAGCTGTTACAGGCTACCTAGACATTGTTTGAGATCTTATATTATTGCTTTAATTCTGACGGACCTCTGTTATTCGGTAATACAAACAATCTTATAACATAACGTATGTTTTAATTTTACTGATAGATATAGAAACATAAATTAAAACAATGTGAAATGTTTTTTTAAACATTTATTTGACCCATTTTATGAGGAAATAAATATTTGTATAACGCTAGGCATTTTTTAATAATCTGCATAATTCAACGGGTTTTAAGCTCTTTGAAAATGCCAGAATTATCCATCTATGTACATAAGGATATATGGGTATAATCGTACTTGTTTGCGAGTGTTTTATTTTTAGACTATCATGTGATTTTTAGGTTAAGTGTTTTGCTTTCACGATATGCTTAGTCAGTGTTTTTGCAAACATTGAAAACTTGAGGCTATCTTTCATTTTTAATATAAATAGGAAATGGCCAGACAGTGCTATACTTTCATGATAAAAATATATAAACCAAACAATGTAACACAAATATTCTTACCTAATATCAAAACTTAGTTCCTGTCCTACTCCATTATGTATTCCCCTTTTAGACTCCCTGTGTTTTAAGTACTAACTTGTGCCATAAAATCTACTCAGAAAACAGTGTAAAATATTAAAGAACATTTTATAAAGTTGAGTATCGTAAACTTTTATATTTCGACCCTCGTCGCCTCTTACTGGAACAATATTTGAACGCTGCGACTCGGTTTTAAGGTTAACCTTGGAAACTTGACCGTTCGCAGCGCGGTATTAAGTAGGTACGTTCAGGATCATTATCAGCTCAAAATATGTTCGCAGTGATATAAAATATCCAAAACAGGATCCTCTTGTCAGCCGCCTCTAGCTCCTTTCATTATAGATTTACCTCATGATTTGTTTGAACGTATTCGTAGCAATTTGCAGCTTGTCTTTATATTTACAAGGTATATTTTTGTCCACAGCCACGGGGAAGACTTGATCGTGACGCCCTTCGCGCAGGTCCTGGCGAGCCTGCGCAGTGTTCGCAACAATTTCTTATGCCTCACCAACGTGCCGGTCGCCAAGTAAGTCATTCTTTTGTTTTTGTTCACGCCTCCACTTAGTACGGACGAATGAAATCTTTAGATCATGACAGTCCTCGAACAGAACAAGTAGGTGTAGCCGGAGATGTAGTCAGACGTCCATGTTCTTTCATGTTACAGCACCGATGCGTATTATCTTGAAGAGCCGAACAAACAGCTGATGCCTTACACAAAGCTGTAACTCTCGAAATTACAAATATTTGCGCTACTGTATCAGACAGGCACTCCACATTGAATTGTATAAACTACACTTTGTCATAACACAAACACGATACGACTGATAGTAAATATTCATTAAATTCGACAAAATGAATTAGTTTCACAGTTCGAGTTTGCTTCCGTCTACAGTTAATTAGTGAAGCTACGAAATTTTGATTAATTAAAATTTGAGATTACATATCGTAGAGCAGGCTTTGAACTAGAGTGCGATGTGTGTGCATTAAACGCAAATTGGAAACAGTACCTGAAACGCGAGGAAAGCAGTTTCTCATTAATTCTCCTTCCGTATAATACTGCTGGATGGGAATACACGGCACGTAGTTGGTAATTAGTACATTCATGATTAGGTAGGTAAATAAACTACCTCATCAATTGTTAAACAACTTTTATCTTCATTTCCGCGTACTTTTTGCTGACGACAATCACAGGTTAAGTATACACATATGCATATTTTTTTACCCCTAAAAAGATTGTTCCTAATACTTTAAATAAGGATAAATATGTGTTACATGATTCCTGTTTTTTAAAGTGAAGTAGGTAATATTGTAGATAAGTATGTATTAGTAGATTAAGTAAATTCAGAAATGTAACGAAACAAATAATACCTACTCAATAGCTACCTGAAAATAACCTATTCATCAAAGGTATTTATTTACTAGAAAATACATCAAAATACGTGACACATATGTTCAAGCATTTCTCGTGTAATCTGCTTTGTGTGATTGTACCAATAAACAGAGGATGGTAACATTTCTTTTTATCTACTTTTCTCGCAATTTTTCTTTCGTTTTCTTTATTTTTTTCTGACAAAAGTACATAACGCGTATATAAACAGACCCTTTAAGATTTACATAGCTTATTGTTGATCTCATCTCGACAAATATTGCTGGTTTATGCGTTATTGTATCTTAGGTACAAATATATTTGACGTATTTTTTACTTAACTTTAGTTTCATTTAATATTTTTTGTGCATACTATATAAAGTAAGTACTTATATCTCATTTAAAGCATATTTGATTGATTGTAACAATTTATTCGATCATTTGTTAAATGATTAATATGAGTTTATTTTTATTGAAACTATTCAATGAATCATTTTTCAAGCTTTCACGAATCACCTCTTTCAATAGAACATTTCAATTATAAATAAAAAAATATTAATAAAAATCCTTTTATGATACTACCATTTATAACACTTACATATTATATTCTATTCGATAATTTGAATTAACAAGTTGAATAACCTCTGTAAAGTCAGTCAAAAGGATGTTCTATGTAATATTATTTTAGTAGGAAAGTCAAGTAGTAGTTTTTGATGAAGATTCACTTGGAAAGTCCTTCACTGCACAGACCTAATATTTATAATAGAGATGATGACAGGGTATGAAAATTAAAAATGTAATTAGTCCGTCAGTTAGGTAATGAAAAAATATTAGACACGTATTTTTTATTTTGTTGTATAATAAAATTATACTTAGGTATAACAAATCAAAGTTTAGGAGTGGCAGATAAAATTCATTTCTACGTATAAAATGTACAGAGAAGTTACGTCACGCGACATATCAAGTCAATATATGTTCTAAACTATTCGATACCGTAAAAAAAATTAAAATACGTGACTAATGTTTTTAAATAATCTACCAGACGGACATTAAAATAAAAATTAGTCACCTACCCTATTATTTTATTCCTACCGTCAAACAGCGTACGACGGCTGTCTCCCTATGAAATTGTTTTGCCATAATTAAGAATTTTCCAATGTCTTACTGGTTTATTTTACTAACAGCTGTTAAATCCAAGAAGTTTCAATATTTTGATAAACCTGTTTTCAACAATGTTGTATATAAACAGTCCTGTTTTTTGTATACGTCATCCAAATTTGTTTACTAGATTCTATAGATTTGCATACAAGAATAACAAATACATATCCTCAATGTTTTTCTCAGAAATTTCTTTTTTTACAATATTGCGTGACAATTGCTTACGTCAATTTAAAAACTGCGGTTTTTGTAGTTAGAGTCGAGTTTTTGTGAAACAAACCCATATTTTTCCAACCACTTAAACCACTATGACCCAATTGTAAACTGATGACCAATCGTCTTAACACTAACAATCGGTCTTGAGTCACCTAAAGAAAATCAGACGGAATAGAAATCGCACAATATGAAACACGAATCAGCCGAGTGACTTCATTTTTATTTTTGTCGAATCTTTAATTAATTTAGAACTAGCCCTAACATAATGTTTTGCTGTGCCTCCCTCCCAGCTCCTACTTCACCTTGTCACGTCCACCTGGGACAACACTACGAGTAATTACGCCCCAAACAAACACCCAGAGACCTTGTAAATAAAATAACATTTCATCGACAAACTTAAAATGTGACATTAATTAAAATACAACAATGTTGTTAGACGCAAAAAATAAGGCCGTGTTTACTACTTTTCTATAAGGCTAAAGAATTGTAGACTACTCTATAACTTGATGACGTCACAAACTAGCTGTCTCAACAATGGCAAATCTGTTATGTGATTACCACAAAGATCAACTTGTTCACGAGTTTACATTTATCACATACCCGTTTGTGTAGTATGTCCTATTTGTATCTCTACTTCGTCATCAATGTTGATATTATCTTATGCGCGTGAGCAAACCGAGGTCTTCCTACTCAGATCTCAGAAACTATGGATGTGCCATGTGAGCAGACTAACTGTGCACAAAGATACTCGATGCGTAATATGTAGTAATATTTTATAGTTAATAATAAACTGTTGTAATAATAATCATTAAGTACACACTACCTGTTGTAAATTAACTGATAAGGTTAGCTTATCGCGCCACTCGATGTATGATTAAAAGCTTTCGACGGGTAGACATAGATAGTACCATGATGTGGGAAAACGCAGTTGTTACAAGAGTCATGTTGTTGCAAGAAGGTGGCTTTTATTGCACGAATATGGACTTTGACACTCTGCTTGCATGGATCAAAATTGATAATATTAAAATAACATGTTATTTTCCATAAAAATCCTATAAAAAACGTTATGAGTTTGTTTTCCTCTCAATTCTAAAATATTGAAAATGATGTGTAAGCATGTTTTATGCTGAAATCACCTCTCATCTAGGTTGACCACAAAATCGCACAGCAGACGTTTTAATTACTCATCCTTATACATAGTAACGCTAAAAAACGTCACAACAAACATGGCTTCTCCATTTATTATTGGTTCCGATGACGTCGGCGGTGACGTAGCGCTGTCGTCGTGATGACAGCGCGCTCGGCAACGGCAGCTGGCAGCACGCGACCGCCGAATCAGGCGCTCGCGCGGGTTGACGTCCTCGCTCGTCACCCACGCCGCGTGCCGAACACATGACAAGCCTCATGATGAATCGATCTCAAATTTAATAAACATTATATAATAATTCTAAACTCTTACTAATTACACTAACATTAATCATTTCCATTTTAAATAGTACATGTTAGTCAAGCGAAAATGTTCAACTCTTCACACAATAAAATGCATGAAGCATAATAACTAAGAGATTTAAAGGTTACGCTTGACGTCACCAAGGCCCTTAACCTTTATAAATATGAAGATCATATAAAAGTAGCAGTTGAGTATGTAATGATATACAATTTACTGTCTACTCTTAAGATTTTATTATTGTTTTAATAACTTCTGTTTATGGAATCCAATTTTAAATCCCATCTGAGGATAATACATTACATTTAATCTTTTGTGACGACGTAGTAATGATATTTTGATTTAAATCCAGAAACAGAAAATATTGCGGAACAAAAGTTATGCAAAACAAAACTTGTGCATACGATGCTATTAAAACAATAACGCGGCAACACATTATATTGAATTATTTGACCAAACGAAGCTGCCAAATGCATATTAAACCTGAATTTAATACCGGCCTTAATACTGCCTGTCAAATAAAATTGTTTATTTAAACTCTTCTCTAGGACGACAATTAAACTGTACTATTAATAGTATAAAACCATTTACTGTCGAGACAAATATTAACTCTAAAGTGACCTTGCATATTATACCGATGAATAAAATGGACAACATCACATTTAAGAAGTAATTAACATGATGGATGGCACATCACTTTGAATTAGTTGTGGAGCCCATTTACGGTAATTAGAGACCTCGGTAATAAAAAGCCAGGCCACGTACCTAAATGTTGTGTAAAAGATAGGAAACCTCACTTTTCTTTTACGCGAAATTTTCAAAAGGTTGCTATTCAGAGAAGTATAATATATCTGTATTATTTTGAAAAAGGAAAGATAATAAAATAAATGTAAAATACTATTGTAAAGAATATTTTTCAATATGCAATGAGTTACATAGTCTACTTTAATTAGGATGATGACAAGGTATAAAAATAAAAAATCTAATTAGTCCGTAAGTTAGGTAATTAAAAAATATTAGACGCGTATTTTTTCATTTTATCATATAATAAAACAATACTTAGATAAAACGAATCAAAGTTTTAAGGGAAGTGCTAAAACGTCATTTCTACGTATAAAATGTACATAGAAGTGACGTCACGCGACATTTCAAATCGTCGTCGAAAGTATTCGTTTTTGTAAGAAAATAAAAAGAGAAAAGACGGACATTAAAATAAAAATTAGGCATCTACCCTATTCCAGTATTCCTACTGGATCGGGAAAATAAACTAGTATATAATACCTATATTCACAATATTTTAGAGCAACATAGTTGTTTTTTCTAACGAAATAAACAGTTGTTAATCCCATCTGTCGTGTATCGGGCCTTGACATGACCTCACTAGAATTATCTAACACATGTCTCGCTCGCTAAATTTAGATTACAACCATCGCAGACCAAACAACACTAAACGCTTGCTTTTTCTAATTATAGTTCTGTTATTGTGATTATCAGTTTACGATCTACAATGATTTTACAACTGCACCCAGGGTTGCCACTGATTACAACTCTAAATCATTCATCTGTTTCGTTTTAAACTAACAATTAAATTTTTAACTGGTTTTTTTATACGTTTATGTGTAATTAGATGTTTTATTTACGTTTGTGTTTATATAGTTTTTTATTGGTGCTATAATTTGATATAATTGTAGCTGAAGGTGGCAACCTTGTTGGTGTTGTGAACACGTTTGTAGTTATCTAGAAGTAATAATAATAACAACAGATGATCTAAGGAATTCGTACTTCTTTTGAGGCACAATCAGCAATAGGTTGGCGGTCAAAAAGTGTATCATACTCTGAAAAAAAACAATGTCATCTGCTATCTTAATTAATGTTTTTTAATATACATCTAGTTCAAACCAGATTATAGTATTACATTTACAAGACATCTATACAATTTCAAGTGTGTATAGTATAATTTTAACTGTACTATGAAGAATAGAATACATATATGAATACCAAACAATTTTTATGAGATCAATGAGAATGAAAACCATTATCAAGATCAAGGGAACCCAATATCACTAATAGAAAACCTTTTTTCAAAGTCAATATGAAGGTCTTTGCCATTCGTACTTATTTATTTATGCTAATAAATTCAATATAGGTCTCAGATTTAATATAATGGACTGTAATACAGATGCTAAAGGTTTATTTTTTAGCGTGTAGTATTTTTCTTGCATTAAAATAATATATGTATAGTTCAATTTCGCATTGTATTTTTATTTATATTAAAACAACTTTTAGGCGGACTTTAAACCTAAGATGATTTGATAATCGAGTTTAATAATCTTATCGTAGATTTTAATTAGGTATAATAATTTTAATCGTATAGATTATATAATTAGATATATACTAAAAACTAACGAAATGATTAGGTAGAACCTAATCACAACATTGCGCTCTCGTCATCACACTAATGAAACAAAAAAATTAAATCATTGGGACAATAAAATCGACACTTGTAAGCAAACACATGGAGCCGCTAGCGTTTTTTTTTTTAATTTCTTGATAAATAATTAAATATAATATAATTTTCTGACACAAGTATTTTATCAATTGGTAACGTATGTCTTATAAAAAGCAATTTTAGAGGTTTATAGAGGTTTTAATGAAATGAAAAAATAGCTAGTGGCTCCGTTTCTTCACTACCAAGTGTAGACAATACAGATTTATAGTTTTGTAGTCACAGCTACCTGAAACTTTTACTATATATAAATAACACACACAAACTTTTGTAGGGAGCTCTATTATACGTGATTAGTTTGAAAGACACCCTGTAACTATGCGCCGATGGCATTAGTAGCGTCCGTCCTCACATAGTTACTTGTTCGTGTATCACAAATTAGTTTTCGGTAAGGTCAAAAAGGGATATTCAATGTTATATACAATACATGTATATTTACCTACATGATATATATATATATACGTGTCCATATAGGTAGGTATTAGGGTAATATGTGCATGTTGATTTTTCCTGCTCTTATTTCTGTTATGTTTTTTTTTTACTATTAGGAATTAATGTCCTCCTATAAGAATAATGTATAGAGCTCCTTTCGCCTGCGATACAGGATTGTCCTAGTGTAGGTATCTAACTTTATGGGATCCATTTTACTTACTTAAGATATATTTCGTATTTTGCATTTTTGAATTATGAATAAATTTTATTTATTATTTTAATGTAGGTAACATAATTTATGAAATACACACACCGGCAAAATTAGGGGAACACAAAAAAAAGGGCCATTTTTTTGGAACTCGTGAATGATTTGTCAAGTGTTTCATTTATTTATGAAATTACCTTCGTACAACACAATATTTTGAGATATTTTGACATTTTTCAACAATCTAGCATAAATTATACGCTCTCAAGTGTTTATTGAGTGTCAGCGCTTTTAAGTGTTTTTGATAAGGATTTTGTTGGAGCAGTCAATAGAGGCCCTAGCTTATTTTGTTGTTATTGTTTGGAGAGTTAACATTGTATTGCATACAAAATGAGTGATTTACCAGCAACTGAAGTTGCCAAAGCTGTGACAATGATCGAGGAAGGGCGCACATACCGTTCAGTGAGTCGAACGTTGGGTGTATCAGTATCTGTGATCCACCGTTGTGTCAAACGATACAGACAGACGGGATCTTACGTACGGAGGCAGGGACAAGGCAGAAAGCGTGCAACCAGTGCCGTAGATGATCGTTTCATAAGGGTGCAAACGTTGAGAAACCGTCGTCAAACAGCTATACAGACCCGAAACCTTTTTGAAGAAGTGCGTAACGTGCGAGTTAGTGAACGAACAGTAAGAAGAAGGTTAAACGAAGTTGGTTTAAAGTCATACGTGCCAGCAAAAGCGCCTAAACTTGAGGTAAGTCATCGAGTTGCACAAGATTAGCGTTCGCTCGTCAGCACCAAGATTGGTCCGATGAATGGGGTCATGTTTTATTCTCGGACGAAAGCCGATTTTGTGTAAATTTCATCGACGGGAGGGAAAGGATGTGGAGGTATCGAGAGAGAACGGTACATCAAGCAATTTTACCGAAACGGTGTCATATGGTGGAGGGTCCGTTATGGTGTGGGGTGGCATTACTTCAACAGCCCGCACCGCGTTGGTCATTATTGAAGGCGGCTCTCTGACTGCACACAGGTACATAACAGAGATCCTAGAACCCCATGTAATGCCTTTTGCCCCATTTATAGGGCCAGATTTTGTGTTTATGCACGATAACGCAAGGCCGCACACTGCTCGCGTGGTTCGCGATTACTTAAATGCAATTGGAATTACCCAAATGGACTGGCCAGCACGATCTCCAGACATGAACCCGATAGAGCATGTCTGAGACATGATTGGACGCAAAGTGCGGGAGAGAATTCCACCTCCTAGGAATGTTGAGGAATTAAAATTGGCGTTAATTGAAGAGTGGGCCAATTTACCCCAAGAAATGATTGACAGTGTCATTAGAAGCATGAGCAGACGTATTCAAGCCCTAATTAGAGCCCGCGGTGGCAATACGAGGTATTAATTAGGAAATTTATAAAAAAAAATATGACAATTAAATTTAAAAAAAATATTGAATAAAATGTAAAGGACTTAAATTTCCTATTTTTTTTGTAAGTATCTGTAAATAAATAATGTTCAACCCTAATTCCTATTGTGTCATATTTATTTTGAATACCCAAACCCAAATTAATCGAAAAAACATTCATAAAAAGCTAATAATTAAAAAAGAACTATCTTTTTTTTTGTGTTCCCCTAATTTTGCCGGTGTGTGTATATATATATATGGTGTATGGCCTCTGACTACATCTTCGGCGTATGAATGAAATAATTTTATGCCTTTGATGACCAATTTATCACATAGGTACTTACAATTAATATGTACCTCTATTTATTGATACATAGGTGTACTAGATTAATTTCCTACCTACTAAATCAATAACTCTTTATCAATGAAACCTATGAAAATGCAGTTATTGCTAGAAGTTACCTCTGGAAAACGTTAATTTCATGAGTAAAGTCGTAATTTTCATATTAATGTTAAATTCTTACATGTATAAATAAATCTCCATAGGTATTAATATTTCTACGTTGTTCTCATTTCAGATCCCGCAGGTCATCGGGCGCAGCATCCGCTGTTACTCCACAACCTAAGAATCTAAACCCTGGAGGTAAGATATTTCATAATAAACACTCATTATTGCACGGCATACCGATTCAATTCTCGCTCGGGACAAATATTTATATGAAACTGAACGGGTTGATAAAATATGGCATAATAATATGAAGACTGTGATGTGTAAAAACTTTTTTATTTAATACAAAAGTCTACTACTGATATGTGTGCTATCTATCTATCTTTCTGTCAATACTCTACGGCAATAATTGCTCTATTTTCGACATTTTCAAGCAAAACGGTTGTGAGTAGGGTTGCCACCTTTTTTTTTTGGTATTTAAAGTACATTGATGATTATATGTAAGAAAAAATGTACATAGTACAAAAATAAAGTACAATTTATTCTTATATATTTTGCAGTTTGTATTAAATTAGTATCTTTACTAAACAATTGTATCTTTACTAAAAATTGTCTAAGTGGCGCTGGCGAGTGGCGAAATCGATTCAACATAAATCGAGAAATATCGATATCGAATCTTTAATAGAAATGAAGTTTGCAAAAATAAAGTATTTTCGTGTACTTGATTATTCTTATGAAGTATAGAGTACAATTACCGTAACGTACAATACTTTATTATAAAGTACGGTGGCAACCCTAGTTGTGAGATACTTATAACTCTTTGCTCAATCCGGACATTGCTCCCCCTTGCTCAACAAATAGGCCTGCATTCATAAATAAAACCAAAAAAATTACAAATACCAATGCGTAACGAACCCAACAACTTATATTTATATAGCTTTATTATGCTAAACGATTACCATAAACAAATTATAATAATTACATAATATTCGTAACCTCACATAATACCTTTATATCTCATATAATGATATCATTATATCATTCATTGAAACGTGTCGAAATCAGTGACATTGGTTGATTACGCTAGTAGTAAACTTCAATGTCGTAAGGTAACTTAGACCATTCCTGTTTACCCATACACGTGGACCTATTAAAGTTATAAATCTTTACCTGCATAGTAGAATATGAGACTGCATTATAGACAGCAAGTGCGACTGCTGGACAGGGGTCTCGGATTCGATACCCAAATCGGGCAAAGTATTACTGAGTCTTTTAAAAATCTCAGTAGTAGCACGGAGTCTGAAATTGTGCCCGGTATATGGCAATAGGCTCACCCCCTATAACATGAGACTCATAACATAAATAGTGAAATGTGGGTGTTAATATGCACCTCTGCCTATCCCTCCGGGGATAAAACTCGTGATATTATGTTATGTAGAATATTCTTTTCCGCTATTACATAGGACTTATCATATACTGGCTTATGCCTACAACTTCGGGACTATGCTCAATGTGCTTTTCAATCAGATCCGTTTAGCCATTTTGGCGAATGATAAACATCTGTATTTTTGCCTTGTTAAATGCAAAAATATAGATGTCTTAGTTTAGATAGCTAACTTAAAGTGAATGTTTTATTCAATTTCTACCAATTTGTTCACATTTAACTCCTGTTTAAAGTAAAATGACACTTAACTCGTCAGTTTAAACTGTCAAACACCAAGTGGTCACCGGTGACCGCAACCTATTGTTCTTTAATTGTGTCTATAAATACGGTACTCGGAGAACACGTCTTTTTTTTATTTTTTGCTGTGTTCTCGTTATTACTTTGCCCATTTTCTTAGAATTCTTATTCCCATCTATGGTGGTGTATGATAAGGCGTACCTACAGGAAAATAAATTTATCCTCTCTCGTCAGTTCCATTAAACGAGCAGATAATGCACGGAAATATGGATATAGGGGATTCACTGGTTTATCAAATTGCTCAAATTACAGTAATATCAGAATCTGGTATTATGGCTGCTGGAGTTTGACAATAGGTTTACCCCCAATTCCAACTGATGAAGATACAACCTCTTTTTGGCCAGTTATTATAACTGGCAGTTTAGAGGTAGGACTAATGCTTTGATTGAACTCTTTGGGGATAATAGAGGTAGATTTAGTGTTATGTATTCATGTATGTACTGCATAACGTTAATTAATCATTCCACAGAGCCAACAAGCTTACTATTAAATTAAGAGCTAACTTAGTTCCTTGATGAGAGTCACATATTACGTCAGTTTCATATTAGTAAATAACCTGCTTATTACCGCATTTATAGACTTTTGTTAATAGGAATTCTGGAAAATGATACAATAAATCATTTATCGCTATTTAATCAAAATGTCTCTGTCTCTCTGTCTTACAGAGTCTATAAACAAACAAATCTTTAAAAATCTGCTGACGAATTCACGTCTTGTTCTTTATTAACTAAAATCGCGGGTTACTTACGTGAATATACTGAGAAAGCGTCGCCGCGACCGCGCATGCTGCTCATGAGGAAGAACCCCTCTGTGGTTCGAAACTAGAAGAGCTTTTCTCAGTATATTCACGTGAGTAATCCTCGATTTTAGTTAGTCTTGTTCTTTCTCACACTTTCCCTCTATACGGAATACTGAATTCATTATGTGCCAATATTTCCCTATTTTGACCCGCCATACATACTTACACTGAAGTTATTTTCATATGTTTACACAATCGTACCGAAGGGAGGATACATTAGTACTGGTTTGTAGACAGAGGATTTTGATGGAGATGGTCCTACCCTTTTCAAGTGCGAGCAAGTGATTTTAAGTCAAGCTCTTCGCTTTAGGAAAACTCATTATAGGAGGGACAAACTGCCTTACATTCATCTTACGAGTACTTATTAATACTCAACTTAGGGATACTTTTCCAAAATGTCGTTACGGATTCACATAAATGTCTTTCGATAATAATGTGAACGGATTTTATACATATAAATTCCTTTCAAACTATCTCAAGACTTAAATAACTGTTCAACGTGGGTGGATAACAACCTGCACTTGAGTGATTAAACTTAAAACTTCAATCAGAGCTTAATGAATTGTTTGCAGCACAAGATAACTTTTACTATTTTCATCCAAGCCATCTCCTTTGTGAGATACTTTAATAAAACACGACGTTCACTTTGAAGAAGCTAGCCGAAGTGCGAAGATTGAATTTATTATGTAGATACTCAAAGAAAGACATTTTTACACGCAGTAGACGGTAACGCAATCAAATTATTCCCAATCGATACGACGCAATCAAGGCTAATGCGCACTTTTATCATTTAGCAGGATACGACAGACTCGTCACGCCACAATACCACAGGGACGCATTTATATCACGTGTCACAATTGTCAACAACATGACGGCACCAGTGAAAATAAAAAAATAAAATCGTACACAATGTCGTATAAATGAGTCCCTCGGGACTTTGGGTTGTATCGTAACGTTTTAAAAGTGCCACTAGTGAAGCCTGATCTTTGCTGAGGACGTCTCATTTGTCAAGAGGGTTTTGGGCTGACTCTTTAAAATATCAAAGACAATTGTTCAATTTCACACAGCAGCACTTCTGTGTGAAATTCGACGACGCTGCGTTGATGCCTATACCGGACAAACGTCCAGCATGACGACACTAAGTGCCACTTGTAACAACATCATTAGCATGTTTTTTTCTGTACTTTCCCTTCAGAAAAATGGAAAGTGAAAGCGTAGTCTGGTTAGATACTTCCCCTACCTACTACGAATTTACGTAGCACGCGCTACGTAACACGTAGCTAGTAGATAATCTAAATAGGTATTTCCTGCGACAATTCGGCTATTGCCATACCGAGCACAATTCCAGACTCCGTGCTACTACTGGGAATTTTTAATAGACTCAGTAATACTTTGCCCGACCTGGGAATCAAACCCGAGACCCCTTGCCCGGCAGTCACACTTGCGACCACTAGGCCAACGAGGCAGTCATTTATCCAAAATCTATCGTGTATGGATTATATTATAGTTTCCAATGTAAATTCAACAACGATTGAGAAACAGGCACTTAGACTAACATTGAATAAAGTGATTGCTATAGAGTTCCCACAGCGACAGTGCAATTATCCAGGGACGGGGTTTATAAATAGAGTTCATTTTACTTTGAATTACTGATTGCAGATGTTACAGTATTGAATGTGTACTTTTGACGTCGATTTGATTAACTACGTCAGCTAGGTGTACTCAACGTGCGCAGCGATCTTTGAAGAAACACACAAATAGAATCATAAGTGTTGATTCTAAAGTAGAAACTTCAAAACCTTTTCGCAGCTACTTCTAATACAATATCTGCATAAATCACTTATGTAAAAGATACAGTTGAGTGATTGGCTAATGGTAAACACTTGTAAAAAACAAAATAACTAATTTTGTTAAGTAGATTAGGGTCGAAACGGAAAAAACAGATACTTTCCTTCATATCCGGTCGGTCGGGGAGCCGCCCCCGTACACTGCGCGTGGCTACGCAGCTACTGGCACCTACCCACATGTACATGTATGTATATGAAAGTAAACAAACGCCCAGATATTACACATGCTTTGTTTACAATTTTATCAGCAGCGTGATCAATTCTCCGATGCGATATGAAAAGATTACGAAGAACAGTTATGTCACAAGGTAAACTGTCACATTCTTGGTAATATTTGTACTAGGAAAAGATTTATAATACATTCATCTCTTATCTTTGTACAATAACATTGCATATTCAGACGATTATTAACATTTTGTAGGAAAATTATATGAATTCTTCAATCATGCTGGACTTTTTTTTAGAAATATCTACTTACAAATTCAAATAAAATTCTCAGAAGCAATGTTTACCTTGTAGGTACGCGTTTATTTATTTTGTACCTCGTAACAGAATCCATAATCCTTCGTGATTGGATTGTACGCCGCCTTTAGTAGAAGCCAGACACGCTAATCCCACAAAATTTTCCTTTCCTTTATTCAATGGAAAAAGAAAACTTGGAATAGTTTCCGCTGAACTACAATCAGTTTTATTGAATGACTATTAAATAAAACGTATATACCTACTTTATTATAAAGTGTTATTTTCCGCAATATAGATAGGTATTATTTTGTTTACACTTCAAAATTGGTCTGTAAAAATGGCAATTTCTCAGAAATATAATCTTAGCTCACGGCCTGAATCAACAAGTACCTAATCAATAGGCTTCCGCTTTCGAATACAGATTGTCAGATTTGTAGATAAACGTTGAAAGTAAGATGGGTAGTGAAACAGTGTTCATGTTCGGACCTAGATAATTTAAGCCAAGCTTCGGGGTAGCTGGCATTGTCCCGTTTAATTAAACCAAAGTTGACACAACCCAGTCACCGTGGAACGTGTTAAAACAATCTGATTGCGGTTTTACGTTCCACTACAACTATTATAGACTGAATTAGCATCGAAGTTTATGTGCACGAGTTTAGTATGGGTTCAGTTCTGAACTATACTAGGTTAAATTATTTTGTAAAACTAAACTTGACTTTTAGGTTCGTAGTAACTGCAGGTATTATGTTTGTGAATTAATTAACTGCTACATTGGTACATGTAAATGCGATTTTCTCATATAAAGGGTTAGTAAAGCTGTCCATAATTTTCTGTCCATAATTTTCCCTGATGGGATAGGTCAGTGCTGGTGAGTTTTATTTAAAATTAAACAAAAATGAAAAAAGGAATAGTTTCAATACTCTGCGGTTTACAAATTTTCTGTAGGGAATAAGTCAATCGTCTTAATGAGATAGGAATTAAATAATTAATTCTAGAACCGACCTTGTCCTGTGGTTTAATGACGCATCTGTTTAAACTATATAAAGCTCAGTATTGTCTTTTCCAGTCATTAGTCTTTCAACCTTTTATGTAAACACACGTTTGTGTGAAACATTTAACAAAGGTATAAATAAAAGGGGCATATTGTTTTTTTTGTCAATTGCCATTTTTGATAGGAAAATGACCAAACGTCGTGATATAGTAATTATCATCTTCGACATGTTTGTCACTTGGTTGAAGACATCTCGGCTGCTACTTCAGTGTCTACTTGACATGTTAATGCGTACGTTTGTTTCTATGTACTATATAAAAACTTGAGTGTATCGCAACTACTGTATATAACATTGTGGTAAAGTGCTTCTAACAATCAGTAACAATGTGACTGCAAAATCTGTGATAATTTGTCAATGTTCTGTGATGTTACATATATTTATTTACTTACGTAGTCGTGGTCGGGGCGCCATTAAATGTGAGTAGTTTTTCTAATTAATTCCAATGATAAATAATATTATTAATGAAATCCACCGCAAAGGAAAAATTATTACCTTTGGGAAACCCTTTAGGTGACCCCGATTGTAAGATGACTAGACTAGTTTATTTTACGCCGATTCGTGGTTTTTCGTTTTTTGCCACTTTTATAACTAAAACTCCCAAATATTATAAGTACATATTTGTTTTCCTACAAAATAATAGTACCTTAATTCCCAAATAATAGTCATTATCTGATGTCCTATTTTCCGTATTTTAGAGATTTAAGTTCAAACTTTCGTAGAAGATCATTCTGGTCTAATAATGCCGGTACTAATAAAACTGGGCATTGCCTTCTACTATACTTATCACTTATTAGTCATTGAAATAACTTAAGCAGTTCCCTATAGTCATTGGGACATCACTTGTAAATTGTAATACGTCACAACACCGGCTTCAAAGGTTGAAACCAAGTGTCATACATTATGACGTAATAAATGCGATGTGGTAACTTGTCACGGGGGGGTGTGTCATAAAATGTCATAGGTAATGAAATAAAACCTGACACATTTATTCGACTTAACTTGAAATAATTAGACTACTTAATAACTTGTAAGCTTTATTATTCACAGAGATATTAGCATAATGAACACAGACATTAATATTTGTAATTTGAGAGCAGAACACATGAGCATGTTTTAAATATTAAAAAAATGAAATGTCTCACAAAGCTCTCGGAATTTATTAATGACAGAAACGTGCCGCTTCTATTTGGAGCGTGACAGGTACTAATGAGTGGCAATGTTGGCCCCGTCATGAATTGAATTCAGGACGCAAGCTGTCACTCGCCACTCTCTGCTTCCAGGAAAAGTGTAATGTAGGCCACTGTCGCTGTAACCGCCACTCATGTCACGGATGATACACATCCCTTACATTGCTCTTTCATAATACAGGAATAATAGGGTAGACCTAAAGCCCCAGTTCACGTCTCTCACCCATTCTCGTATCAGCACGTACGAAGCAATTTTTCCGTACCAGCGCGTAAATAATTCTATCAATCGATTATCGAACGGTTAAGTGATTAGAGGGAAATGTTAAATTGTTTGTTTACTATTACACTTTAAATAGCTGCCGATTATTTCGATCAAGCCGTGACCACTAATGCGGAAACGATATTGTATTTTTGTAACTGTGTCACAGTCAGTTGCCTTTTTTTCGCTTTGTTTGTCCCCCGATCCTATTTCCAATGACTTCAAACAAACTATTTTCGTTCTTTCGATGTATCGGCATGTACTTATACGATTTAAGTTTGTTGTTTTTAAATTTTCGCTTTGACACGCTTGGCAATTACAATTAGCAAGTCGGAAGTTCTGCATTTATTTTCCAAGTGTTTTCAGTTGGTTTATTTACTATGGTTTGTAATGTGACACCTTGATCACAAATATATCTTTGCAGGTCCTTGTAATGTTTATTATGTAGATATGTTTTCATTAGTGATTATCTTTTGCACGCTTAAGTTCTTTGATGACTTGCTACTAGCTAATTTAGTATGCTCTAGTTTCTGCGATGGAGGCCGCAACCATGAGCTATATCACTCTGTGATATTTCACATTTTTCATCATGTTGCCGTTTGTACAAAGACAATTTTTCCCCTGTCAGTTAAATATTTGTCATGTTGTATTCAAAAGTACTCGTCACTGTGCCTGCGAAGTATTGTCAAACAAATATTTGCTTCTTCGCTAACATTTGTTAATGATAATCAAGGTTTTTCACAGATTTAGAACAAAGAATGTTGCTACAATATTTTATTCGTTTCATTATTTCATGTTTCCATCGGGAGTATAAGTTAACTGTAATAACGAAGGCTACAGGGAGATTGAGATTGCTGGTACTTAATCTTAATAATGATCTGTTCAGTACATTATGGGTCCCGAGAGTACACGGCCCTGACAAAGAAGCCTCTCGCCTCGTTTTATGAACAAAAAGTAGGAAGGTTATTAACCCTAGGTTAGGATCAGGGGTCAACGCTTCCTATTCTTGTTTTAATCTCGCTTCCTACACGGCCTTGTTTCTACAAAACAATTTGCGGTGGGCTCTAGTGTAATTCGTCTAAGCTAGGCTCATTACTGCGACTAGAGTAACGACTTCGCGTGGAACCCGCACTATCTTAAGGACCCGTAATAAACATCGTAAACATTACATAGACTTTCTTTTGTATTTTACTTCAGTACTTTATGTGTAATATGTACGAGAATATAGGTATTTTTGTCTATTTAAACGAATTTAAAATAAAGCAAAAACCTCGACCTCTTGCTATCATTTTTTCCGTTTACGTATTGATAATAACATTATAAACACTCCGACGAGTATGAATGTAAAGGTCGTCAATTGATCCATTGGAATATTTTGCAGAAAATTTTACCTCTAAAGGAATATCACACAAACACCTAAACGGTTCGACCCAAATGTGTTATTAATGTAAACAATTTTCATATTCATTGTTACGGTCCTGTTTGTATCCAGAAGCAGGAAAATGTTGCCATTTATTCTTGCAATATACCTATATATTCATGCATGGAATGGAATTGTATCACAATGGAAATAATCCACTCCTGGTATACAATACACCGATTATTCCATTATTAAATTGTATTTGATTACATCCTTATATTGTTTTCAATGATAAATAATAACAATTGGTGAAATAAGTACTGAAGCTATTTAATTTATTAGAAAACAAATTGAGAATTGGTAAATATTCCTTATGTGCCTGAAAAGTCAAAATGTTTTCCGTAGTTTATAGTTTTATGTGTCATACTATAACTGCTTACTTATCATCTAGATAACTTTGTGTATTCACGCGTTTGTTACTACTTTGAAATTAATCTATGTCCTAGTTACAACATTTTACCAAAATGCAACTACTACAATATAAAGTAATTACTTTATTATTGCAAAGCTTATCTATCAGAGACAAATAAGATATCTTGACATTGTTAGCAACAATTTAAAGTGAATGGTAATTCTGTAAACCGCACGTTTAGCATTTAATAGATCCGTCTGCTGTGGTAGACTTCTATACCTAGGAGTTATCATTATTTACATTAAAATAGGTCACACTCCCAGACCCCATCTGATGAGAGAGCGACGTGACGCGCGGGATCGCCGTAATGTCGTCCAAATCACACGTAAACAACGTGAATGTAATCTTAACAGATCCTATCCTTCAATGAAAAACAATTATTCGTCATTTTATGTTTATTACAAGGTTTACAACGATATTATACAAATTATCCATCATTTTTATTACATTACAGAATTATAAAGAACATTTTTATCGACATCATTAATATTATCTATTAATTATTGTTTTATATCTCACATTTAAAGTTCCGAGATCACAGATTTTGTTTTCATATTGATACCGATGTTGTTATACATGTTTCTAAGTGGTATTAAATGAAATGTTTTGTCCAGTATCGAATACGGAAGATATAATAAGCTTTTTTGATAAATTATCTTAAGTCAGAATTATTGTAAACATGATAGTAATTTGAATGACTTGTTACATTGGCTTGGATTGAAGTTCTATGTTCCCTAGATTTACTAAAGGGTGTCCACAAGGGCTTCTTGATTTGTTGCATTTTTTTAATATGTTTCTCTTTGTTACAGACGAAGCCTACATGAAGCTAGCCTTAGAAACAGTTGAGGAGCTGGACTGGTGCTTGGACCAGTTGGAGACCATACAAACACACCGCTCCGTGTCCGATATGGCTTCACTCAAGGTCAGTAACTGCAACCTTCTCCATATTATACGGATTCACTACAATACTTTATCACTGAAATAAATACGACACTTGAAATATTTTTAACACTGATTATTATGTCAGAAGCTGAAACAACAGATTGATCTTAGCATTATCCTCAAAGTATCCTGTTCCGTATCAGTGATAAACTATATGTGATTGGAAAGAAATAAATATGACTCAATAGTCACAAACTAGAAGATAATCTTAATATATATTATGTGATAAAAAACGAACTTTGTCTCGGTTTAACTCGGTTAAGAACCTATGAGGAATATTTATTTTTAAATATAACGTAATGTCGATCGATTGATATCTTGAATTATACAAGTTGAACCCGATAGTTAACCTCGTTAGCTTCTTAACCGGGTACCAAAAACTCGACAACATATGCATTTCACAACAAATCCGATGGTATCGAATATTTAATGACTTTTCCATGTCATCATATTTATCAATCCAGTTAAAACTGCAATAAATATGACTTGACACAGCGGCTTCCTAATTAAACATTTAAAGTAGACCAAAGATAACTATCTAAGATTAACATTATATTACACTGTATATAGGCTACTTTACAAATATGAATTACTGAATATGAATGTTACTAAATTACCACAATCGGCAACTGTTGTAAAATATACACAGATAGCGCCATTTATTTGAAATTTGATAAATAGACGAATCTCGGAATGGGTACACAGTGTATCATGAATTGTAATGTATCTAGGTAATAGCTATAGAATTTGGGAGACAATGTACTATCATTAAGTGTCTTATCATGATTCATGATGGTAATTCGCTAGAATTATCACAGTCACTTTAGACGGTGAAGTACCCCCGAGTCGTGCCAATCTCTATTGTTCATCTTAAATTCTGTAGAAACGCATAAAAACAAAGAACAAAAGTCTTTAGTTACTATTTATAATTTACTTACGCACTATCTATGAGGAAAACTCGAATTCTCGCAGAACCAAACGACTGTAGCTTTGCAAAATTTTTAATCGTTAGTCGTAAATCGACCTTAATATTTTTCAGAGAAATTCCAAAATACAAAAATTAACTGTCTGCCTACAATAAAACAGAGATCTTCCTCTTAAATGTAGGCACGTGCACTTCATCACGTATGTTATTGAATGTTGGGAATTTAGGGTGTCAAGTCGGTCGTCATGTTATTACGACAGAGCGAGCAAACGCATCTTTTTAATTCCATAATTAAAATAAATTAACCCTAAACTGAAAAAAAAGAACATACGTATTTTCGTCTCATAATAAGGCTATTTAAAGGTTGGAGTCCCTCTAACAATGATTCATGGCACGCAAAAACTTGCGTAAATAAGACAATTTTAAACTACGGGAAATATTATGGCGTGACATGACATGACATTACCAGCTGAAATTATTACGAAATAAATTGACCTTTGGACCTAAAACGTCAATATTTAATAATGAAATCATAATATATAACTGGAACTGTAAATGATAGGGTTTTATTTACTCTAAACTTGGAGCAATAATCAGTGTAATTGCCAAGCCCCGCTCACGTACCCATGTTTTATATTGCAATTTGCAATTATATAAATCATCTCAGTTATGAATGGACGGCGAATGTAATCAATGCACTATAAACGTGATAATATCATGAATTGCGATCTGTGGTATTATCCAATGACTGTGGAAACTTACCGGGTTTAAAATGGTACTTGTGAATTACCTACATAGGTTTTATAAATACTTATCGTCTTATGTGTATTAGTTTAGATCAGTGATGTCCTATTAGGATTGTTTAACGTCTATAATGCCTTCTACATATAGATAATTTCCATGTGAGAGCTTTGTGATCTCGAGTGAGGTGCGCGTGTCTCGTTTGTTTGAACCGGCTGTTCCGAGTCTTCTTAACAGCTCTCTTTACCGTTTCTTTCCCTGTTAAAACAAATAAGGCCCTTATCCCTAATCATTTCTGACTGACAATACTTACGTGACAGTCGTTATAAGTACTTTGATATGACTGAGGCATCGTGTATGTGTAAAACAGTAAAATAATATTTGGTCAATTCCAATTGATAAGCCTAAATTCTATTGTGTAAAAAGACATTTAAAAATATAAAACATAAATTATTTATTTTCCGGCCATCAATTATTTTATCCTTATTCCATGTTCCGTATAGCATAGTACCTACTTTCAAAATGTCCGTTTATTCTCATTGACTACATCTTTTAATGATCACTTCTAAGATTTACCTGACCTCTTCACGGAACCAGTTTTTGCTCAATAGTTTACTATCAAAATAATGGAAAGTCCACTTTCAAGTGTTTTAGTGAATAACACAGTTCTCTGAATATTAAAAAGGTTTGCCTTTAAAATGACCAATATTCCGACAATCGATATTAATTACCTATTTTTTAGGTATAAAAGTGTAACTTTTTTGACCTTGTAGACTGACTGTTAAACTTGTCTTGTGATTTTGTCCTGAATGAAAGATAGTTTCTGATTTGGTAGACTCAATGGTTTTTTTTTTCTTTAGTTACGTGGAAGCCCAAAATACAACTTCTAAATGTAAACCCGATTGATACAGAAAACTAAATTATGTAAATAGAGTAGAATTCACATCTTCTTATTGATAAATATCTACCGAAAGTTAATAATATTACCTGCCATTAAATATTAAACTGTACTTGTTAAAGTTACTTACCTTATATTTTGAATCACGTTCCAAGTTAAATATAAATTTCCGCGCCTTCGATCTCACGTCAATGTTCAAAGCCTCTTTGAGTCGGAAAAGTTTTAATGATTTCGAAGCCAAAAGACTTGCTATTCATAATTTCATATATACTTTTCATAATTGACGGAATTTCGGTCAACTTTTATCAGGCCAATTTATTTTCTGCAAATTAATTAACGTACACCTACTTATCATTTATTTTGTGCTTAAGTCTTTGAACAATCATTGTTGAATTTATCGTAAGTAATTAATTGATTACCTGTATGAAAGGAGCTGTAATCATCTTGAACTAAATTCAGGACTTTAGTTGTATTTCACTCCAAACAAGACTACCTACATAGATTCATTAGTTCCTCAAATATTTGACGGTTTAATTTGATTCAATCCAACTATCGAGTTACTATGCCTAGAGTTTGTTTGGCCGGCAGCCATTGTGTTCTGTCCCGATTAAGTATTATTTACTGGGGCACGGTTTAACTTTTAATAGGACGCTACTTGCACTGCACCACTTTGCACCGCTTTGTATCGAGTGGAAAACAGTCAGTTCCCGGTGGATCGATGCGTTTGACGTCACAATGACGCGAACACTTTAATATTTTTCGGCTGACTACATAACGACTTTAGAACTATTATTAAAAGAGCTTTTGATTGAACACGTATGGTACTGTTGTTGACGATAACATGTGTATTTTCACGTACGTACATCGAACTATGACTGTTATAATACGAAACAAAATCTAGATTCTTCTCATCTCAGAAATATGAATTTGTTTTCATTCGAAGCGAAAGGGTAACTTTATATTCATCGCAACTCTTTGATTACCTCATTTGTAGCCATCCCGCTGTGAGCTCAAACCTCAATAAGAGAACTTTCCTCGCCTCCATGTAAATGTCAGGGTTGGTCCTGTGTGACCTTTGATAGCTTTGGGTAACGAACTAATTCTGGCATATGAGTTCCTTAACGGCTGGCACAATGATTACTAAACCCTGGCTAACTTCCTCTAAGGGGTTTATAGTAATCGGCAGTTGGCTCTGTCAGTAGCATATGTGCGTGACGTTGTGTCATTAAATCTGAAGGGCAGCTCCGCCATACCCTCGTGAATGACGCAAATCCCATATACGAAAAATAATGCGTAAGCCGAATACAAATCAATAGTTATTATTTCACAGATATATCGTCTATTTATGGATGCAACAGATACGTATGTACGCTTGATTCGACATTGATATAGATTTGATTTACACCTCACGAACCTGTGTTTACTAGGTATAACACCGTTTCATCGCTAGTTCCGTTGTTTTAAAGTATTGTTTAGCACAAACCGTTCTTAGAATGAATAAAAACACGTGCCTTTGATGTTTGCAAAAAACAATGTGATTTAAATCATTGAACCTATAATTTCTCCTAAATATAAATCGAATTGACCGAAGAATGCGAAAATAACTTTATATTTAGCAAACAGTACAAAGGGAACGTTCCTCGAGTCAATTTATGAAAGTCGTGCCTTACTTAGCATTCAAATCAGAATCAGGGGTGGCATCTGAAAAACCAGCGTCGTAAAATTACATTTTAACCCTTCTGACAGTAGCGGTACATTGTCTTTTATTACTCAGCCAGCATCCTTGAGAAATACAAAGAAATACAAAACAGGCAGTGATTTATAAAGACGTGTCAGTAGTCTGAGAGAATGTGTATCGATATTATTAATCCGTGTAAACTATTAAGGAAGGTTCTGCGTATAGTGGACTATACAATAACAAGCGATAAAATATGTCTTGCGTGCGAGTAAGGTCCATGGACGGCAGGTGTCCCCTACGCTCGCGGAGTCACGTACGCCGAGCTGGAACCGTTCGATGTCCGCTCACCGCGCCGCCCGCCTTGCAAGATTTATTGTATCATGACACTCTATTATCTTCAATCCCTTATCTAAAACTGCAGATGAACTGAAAATATTGAGATTTATGTCATCTGTTCCAACTGCAATCTTGAGTGAAATAAGATAACGACTTTTATCTGGACCACCATACGTCCTTGAAATATCTTTTATTTTAATCTATGTATAGCAGATGCAGGAGCAATTACTATTTGGCGCAATGCAATCGGAACTTTCCCCGACGTAATATATTTACCTGAAAACTTTTCCTCCATCATATTAAATATCCACATCCTTCACGATTCTCACGATTCGCACGATAAATAAAATGAAAATTCGTCGAATTGCGAACTGCCGCCTACACGTTACAACCCGAATATTT